AAAGACGAAGATGACACGACTTGACAAGATTCTCTCGCGATGGCCTTACAAAGGGCAAAATTGACACACGAATTCAACAAGAAAATGAACCTTTGCAAGGTCTTTCGGCAATTTTCTGGCGTGTCAAAGTGTTTCCAACACTCACGAAGTTGCTGCCGGAGCCTGGGAAATTCAACAGGCGGTCATACGATAGCTTAAGTTGCTCTCACGAATGACCTAATGTTTTTACGATCAGAGCCGAAATTGAACATTTATTTTATCGTGTGACCATCTGGCGTCAATTTCGGGACAGTGTGACGAAGATATTATAATGATAATACTTCTAAAACCTCTTTATTCCCGTTAATTGTTTTTAATTTTTTGCCTTATGCCTGGCTTTCACGTGGGCTACGAATCTCCCCGAATAGTGGCGAATCGAAATTCGTGGCGATTCAGCAAAAATATCAAAAAGATCGTAGAGAATCTGAAGTAGCTGCGAAGCAGTTACGAATAGTTTACGAAAGAGTTACGATAATTCGTGGGTAATCTGCTGAAAAATATGACGGATGTCAAGGTAGGGTTCTACGAAATGAAAGAAACATCTATACGAATTAAAGCGATTCAGTTACGACTAAGTTACGGATATGCCCAATAGAGTTACGAATACACTACACTCTGCCAAAACTCTAAAACTACATTGACGCAACGTATCATGGATACGGATACGTGATATGGATGGGAAAAACTCCGCCCGCCAAAAGTCTCTAATAGCGACAATCCTTTAGTAACGCATCGCGCGACAGGTTCCCACTATCACGATTCGTGCTGCGATTGAAGTCGTGGTTTTAATCGTGGAGTAATCGTGGTGATGCTATCAGGTCTTATCATATATTGAGGTCATTCATAGCAATCGTGTTAATCGTACGGAAACGTATCTGCACGTACCAGATCATGGACTCAATAGGGACAATCCTACCGCAACCTATCGCACGATAGTGGTAATCTAGTATTAAGATTAATCTACTCGAAATAAATTGCACCTTCTCACTGCTGAACAAAAAATATACTTTTCTTTCATAGGCATTTAGTAATTGAACCTAAGAGCTTCCGCTGTGTTAATTTAGTTGTAACGTGCCCCGTAATTAAAGGTGTTAAGTTATAATTATATTTTATTGTTAATTTTGTTGATTATTCTATATATATTTATCTACTATTCACATATCTGTATCATTTGCTTGATAAAGACGAGAGTATCCTCGTCGAAACGCCGCTTAATATTAAACTCAGTAATTGTGTATCCATAAAATTGTACCTTGTGAAAAATATATTCTTTTAATTTTTGGCCGTAAATATATCCTATCCGTCGGTGTTCCCTAAGAGGGCAAAGGGTTTCATTTCAAGCTAATTTGGTGCCCTCTGGTTGTCAATAATTGTAAGACACGTTTTTCAAAATGTAGGCTATAAGTTCAAACTTTAATCTCGAGTTTAAGGCCAGTACTTATCCGAATCTCTATCAATTCTAACGTCTACTCCAGTAAAAAACTTTTCAGTAATAAGAGTCTTTACACTAAAATAGTAGACATATTTTGTCTATCGGGAAAGATGTAAACGATTTTGGCACTGTAATTTTATCACCATTAGGAAAAAAACTGAAGTTTTATCCTGGATTTTCACTTGTGGGATTTCATAATAAACAAAGTCACCGCATTGAAATATAACAGCACGCACTGAACAACTTGCAATTATTTAAGGTGAGATAAAATGATAACTTGGAATCATCTGTAGACAACGTTAATATGGACTGTCATGCTGTGAGCCAAATTGTTCTGTTATGAACCAATTGTTCTATTTTAAACACAACCAGCAGAGTATGTAGGATCTGGGTATGCACTAGGTTTCCCATTCCTATTATCCCCCCATACACAACTTATCTATGAAAATCATTATTTCTTGTGAATATATTTATATGTTTGATTTTATTGATTATACTGACTGCCTTTGATAATATTTAAAATATATCGATTTCGAGACTTGAGCGAATTAGCTCAAAATTAACAATTATGGTTACCGATCTGCATTATCCACCAATTCCTTTATTATGTTGCTAAAATTTTATGGATCATCTCTATTAAAAGAGCATTACTTAAAAACCCAAGTTACATCCTATTAAAGAACGTAAAGTTAATATAATCAGACGAATCGCACTTCTACATGATCAATTTACCATGTAAAACGATTTATTCTTTCAGTCCAACCAGACACATTAATATCAACAAAGTTTAGAAACTCGCCACTGATTACAAGCTATTCGTTACATTCATTTTAACGTTGATTTATGACGAATGTTAGCAGAGAATGGACGGAGAACGGAATTAATTTCATTGATTAGCATTAACATGGAGACCTTTTAGAATATTCATTGACCCCAGTAAAATAAGGGCATTATTTACTGACGTTCTCTTGAATCAGAAATGTTATGATTGCTAAATAATTTGGATCAGCTGAATTATCTGTTTATGCATAATTAAATAGGTATTATCACTCTGCTGAATTATCTGTTTATGGAAGATTTAATAGGTATTATCACTATCACCAAGAAAATTAATAAAGGGAATTTTCAATAATAAAGAATTCAAAAAGAACGATAGCGTTAGATTGACTTTACTAACGAAAATGCAAGGATTGGCTTACTTATAATAGTGTGTTATTTAAACTTCTCGAAAACCCCTTCAAACGTTGTCGGTGATATCACTTTGCTGGAAGCGACGTTAAATATAGCTATTTCACACACTCCCTTCAAATGTTTACTATAATCAGTAGCGTGGCAGATTTGTCTTATATTTTGCATTCAATCAAATTTAAACACGAACTGTATAATAGTATAGCGAGCGTTGTAATCGAGTGGTAGGGCATTGGCTTATCAACTAGGATGCCAAAATGGTCGGATTATAATTGCAGTCAACATAGTCTTTATCACCCTCTTATATATAGCTTGTCCTTCCATCTAAGCATGAACACTGATTGCCCAGCAGTATTAGGCACCTATTCCAATAGTATTTTTCAATTGCACCACAGAAAAGGATCAATTGGCATTCCTCGATAAATTGCTGCGTATTTGAACTTACACCCGGGAGGTTATAAGCCAGAAAGTATGAGAGATCATTAAGACTTTGAGGGCAAATCACTTAACAGTACACTGGACGAGCTGTCTGTCTGTCTTTTGGCGGTTTAACCTTTGCTTCCACGTGGAAAGCTCGAAGAAATATTGTATTCTTTCTTGACTAGTTTAAGATCTACTTGAAATATTTGATATGTACGTTTGTTTGTGATTTCTGCGTATTGTGTCTTGTCCGTAGATTTGTTTTGTTTTGTTTAAATTATGTGTGGCGCAGCCCCCACCCCCCTGCACTTACTATTAGATACCAACCAATTATAGAATGAAAACATAGGATTTGTTGTACATTGTTTGGTCACAGCTTTATTTGACCCCAGGTCCCCATTGATTTTCCAGTTGATTTTAATGTTTATTACACTTGCTACCACAGGTGGAGCAGCTGTCAGTGGCAGCCCCTTGCTCAAAGGCGCGTTTGGGGTTCACAATGGAAATCTTGAGATACACAAACTGGAAGTAGCATACTAGTAAACATGCAACTGTCGGCCCAACATTTCAACGTAACCAACCTCTTAACCCTGTTATGCATCCGCTCCAACACCATCAATATTCCCCAAAACTTGACAGGAAATATAAATTCAAAACCCTTTTTATTCTACATCAAAAAGACAGCAAAATGGGTAAAAGGTGAAGAGAGAAGGTGGCTACAGTTAGAAGACGCTCAATTCGTGGACAGTCCAAAAATTTATTGTTCTGTGCCCCTTTATAAGGCAATTCCTTTTTATAGTTCGGTAATAATGTCAACTAACACATGGGGGTGGATATTTAAGCTTTATGGTTATTCTGATATTGTATAGGCACAGCTGATTGGTATTATCTAAAGTACTGTTTAAATCTAATTTACCCGAATAATAAGTTTATATATTTAAATTATTTACTATAATCCGCTATTTATATTTAATAACCTTTGGTTCCTATAGTTTGTAGGCAATGTCTTTCGTTACGTCTTTCCGATCACGAACTGCGATTCTTTTTATTCATCAACATGTGACTATCCTTTATAGTCTGAAATAAAATCCTATAAACACAGGATGTTTACTGAAACAAATCTTCCTGTCTGTCTTAATCACCATTCACTTGGAGAGACAGATAATGGGTTTATCTTCCACTCAACAGTAATCCCTCTATTTCGGGACTAACATAATGGTAATTTATTTCAATAATAGGCTTGCGCGTTAACTTCTATTCAACATTAATCCCGTCATTTGGCGACTAAAATGTGGCAATTTATTTCGATAATAGGCTGGCACGTAAAGGGTTTTTATAAGTAGCTTGAAAACAGCGTACCGGAAGAAAACCTTAGAGGTGAGTCACCTACGACCGAACCCTAGTTAAGATGCCTTTTGATTTACAGCACGATCGTTAGAGTCATCCCCTAGTCACATTTGAAAAGCTTTACGTCAGGCTTTTCAAATCATTTAGTTGAATTTTTCCAATTTTTTAAATTAGGTGTGTTAAGATGAAATTTGTATCATCAATTAATTGGAATATTGTAAAATAGTACAATTTGTTGACCAGAATAAAGATTGGGACATATTATTCAGTTACAGCAAGAGTGGTATTGAGCCTTTAAGCACCACCAACCGAAAACCCCATCAACTTCGTGATGACTACAAATATTCCTCTACAAATTGTATGGTATGTGGAATCCCCAAAGTAATGGGCAGTGTTATTTAATATTCCAATCTATCACAATCGAGGATTTTGCAAGGCAGGAATCTAAAACTTGGTTTAGTTTTAATTCAACTGGTGTATATGTTAAACATAACTAGGACATTGAAATGAAAGTTCGCTGCACTGATTTGAAATAATCATTCCGTCTATCACAATTGGCAGAAAAAAAACTTACTTGTAAAATTGGTAAAGTTTACGCCAGCAGTACTTGAGCTCCAGTCCTCCATATTACTGAATTAGTTGACGGATTAATTTTAAACAAGCTGACAAGATATAAACCGAAGCCTTCTCTTCTTTGTTGCAAATTAAAATAACATTTCACTCCGTATTACCAAGGCGGAGGTTGATTATAACACGCGCATCACATTATTATTGAATGGATCTGAAAAAGTCTTTCTGTTACCAATGCGACGGAGTATAATATAGCAGTACAAGAATCAATCCACACAGCTAGATATAATAAGGCATCTTATAACTGACGCGTATAGATCATTTACACCACAATAAGTTTCCGACAAATGCCGATTCGTGTGACTATGATCGTGTTTTGGACCTGTTTTGGTCTAATCATTACTCTCTATGGAATCCATATCATTAACGTTATAATATTATACAACAATATAATATGGTCAATAGATTTTTCTTAAACTGGATTCGATATTTATCCCTACAGCTGTGACAGAATACCAAAAGACACTTCGATTTTAACTATAAGTAAGATTTATGTCGTTTTTAGAGTAACATCTCTTTAATATACTCCTGAAAAAAGTAGGGGATATTGAAATGCAAATACCTATGCAGGTTGTGATATGATAAATAGTCATGGACACTTGACATGCTTTGAGAGTATGTTCACAATTTAAGAACTTATCGCCCCAACAGAACCACTGAGCTGCATGTGCGACACGCAATAGCGCCATACACGTGGGAGGGGTTCATTGTCGTCAAATTTGACACTTCAAGGAAGGGTCGATGAAAACTGCCGCTTGCTGGTTTATCCTATCCATGTTTGCTATCCTATCGGTTTTTCCATAAGATTTGCTGTTTAGCGCATCTTTGCTTTAGTGTGTTACCTTTAATTTGATCGGCAGACGTGTTCATCAACGTCAACGTCAACCGACAACACTTCAAGAATTGGCCGTGGTACTGCAAGAGGAGTGGGTCAGATTGCCCCAAATCGTGATTGGTCGGTTGATTAGGAGCATGACACGACGAATTGCTGAATGTCTGAGGATTTGTGGAGCAATTACTCATTATTAAGACAAAAATCAAAAACGTCCATTTTCACTTTTGGCGGTTTATCTCTTTGCGAGTGAAATGGGACCGTCAAAAAAATGAACTATTTATGTTCATATGTAGGCAATTGGCCTGTTATTAACATACACTGGTTACCTCTAATAAAAACAGCAGTGCATTTCCGCAGTTTTGTATTGTTTCTGAATATCCCCTACTTTTTTGAAGAGTACATAAATATGGAATACAGATGTTTTTTTTCTAAAATTAATTTCTAAACTTTTTTTTTCTTCATATTTTGCGCATTGACACATTTATACAATTTCTATATTTATTCGGGGACCACGGGGGGTAAGCGGGTAAGACGCTGGCTCGAGAAAGTTCATCCAGATTTTCCGGCGTGGTTCACCCTTGTCAGTGATGCCGGACACATTTGCGTGCACATAAAAGATCCCTTGACAGTTGGAATTCGATATAAGTGTAGGCCGTAGTGCCGCTGTCCGGGCAAAATTTCCCTCATAGCACACTGTATGGCGTATGTTCGTCTTCATTAGCCCAGTTCGCAGCAGAACAGTGGGACGTTAAACCCCATTTCATTTCATTTCATTTCTATATTTATTCCCAAATTATTAGTTATTGTAATAATAGCTAATCAATCATTTGATATTATGATCCGGTTTCCGCAGCTATGTGTTTAGACGTTCTAACTTTATGGCGACATTCAGCAGACGAACACCGTCAAGGCAGGTCACATCGTTTGAATTACTACTTTCCTATGTGCCTAATTAGTGTAGTTTTTGTTTTTAAGGGATTGCTTATGCCCGAAACGTATTCATCACACTCGTTTCCACTTTATTATATTTTTCAAACTCGTAGAGCTTAAGTATTTTTAACTCTTGTTAATTACTCCCCTGTTTCAAGCTTCGCCCTACAATTTGGCTACAATTTTTTTTCTGTGTGTTGTACCTATGATTCTGCATTTGCTTGGCGTGTGTAACTTAACTAAATGCACCAATCTCGTTCGCCCTATACAACGCAAGTGTTGGCTTTTACGAGGGGCGTAGTACTATGCATCGCTGGTTAGACATGGAAAGCCCACATGCCAAATATACTCACCACAGCCGACGTGTGACGCCTCTCGTTTCTGTTACACATTTATTGGCCTTGTGATCGTCTAGTATTGTCTCTGGATTATATTTGTAATTCTCTACTGGTTGGGATATCACTCTGACATTCCACGCTGTGAATTTACTTTTAGCTTACTCAGATTATGGTTTCACGCAGGAAAAACAACGTAACAGTTCGTCCTACATTTTATGTCAAGCACTGGATACATAGGTTACAAATAGAGGTTACAATAGAAGTCATTCTCCCAATCCCACTCCCATCCAAACTCACTGATAGATCTTGCCACATCTTCCCCCTAACGAATCTCCCGGGTGTCCCCCCCCCCTCAAGATTCCAATGTGTGTCTGATCTAACGCTGCATAGGTCTAGCGTTTTCTATGTCTGGACCTCTGCTATCAATTACTTAATTGGTCAAATATTACGTAATTAATTATTCTGATTGGTTACTAAGCCTAATAACGTAATGGTAATTTTCCTATCATAAGTGATCTGGACCATAAGAATTTATCCTTGACCATAGACCCCGTTTCCTGTTATTCACATTATTTCATAAACAATTTAATTTACGTTTTCAAATAAACTTATACCAAAGTTAATATTTTGGCAATGGAGAAGACAAATAAAACATATATATTTGTCAAATAATGTAATTTCGCATACATTACCAAATAGTATGATATTAGCTATCGACCTTAACTGGCTGTTGACTCGCTTTACAAATGACAAACTAAAAGAAAACTGAAGATCTCCAGAGAATAACTACTGGACTCGAAAGGACCGTAGTGTTGTGGTGACTGGGTGTCATATTCCATTCCAGTCTATTCATGTGGACCCAAACCTGACATTGAGACACACTGGAAAACAAAGCGTGCGATAGCAGTGCACAACGATGGAACGAAATGAAATGAAATGGGGTTTAACGTCCTACTGTTCTGCTCCGAACAACGATGGAACGAAATGAAATGAAATGGGGTTTAACGTCCTACTGTTCTGCTCCGAACTGGGCTAATGAAGACGGGCTTACGCCATAAAGTGTGCTGTGAAATTTTGCCCGGAAAGTGGCACTACGGCCTACTCTTATATCGAATTCCAACTGTACACGGGACCTCGGTTTTCGTCCCACCCGGACGACTAGACAGCTGTCCTTGTCAGGCCCTCCGTCCTGCATCACTGACAAGGGGGAACCACGCCGGAAACAACGAGGAACAACATATTTAGGGCTAAAACATACAATAAAAAAATCGATTTGATGGTTAGCGATCTAGATCCGTGACGAAAGTTGCATGTTTATCACCCACCTCATAATGCGCCTTATAAAACTTCCATAGCCCTTGCATTGCAGTTATTTTGGGACGATTACGTTATACGCCATCATGTTAATAGGATATGTTGTAAGCAACCATTCCGTCGGCCCGTCAGCACTTTCTTGTCAGCGCAATAGAGGCTACAGTTTTTATCTGAAAATTTCAGGAAACTTGTATTATGACAAGACGAAGATCGCTATTTCTTTTTGGCACATTGGGTTAATATTTATAGAGTTATGCCCTATTTTGCCGAAATGTCCACACTTTCTGTCTGCTCAGTATAGAGGCCACAATCTTTAATGGATTTTTCTGAAACTTACAGGAAGCTGGTATTATGACAAGACAGGTATCCCTGCTTGTAATGTTTGTCAGCAAAATATAGTCCAGAGGGTTTATCGGAATTTTATGTAGTATGATAAGACGAGAATATCTATTTCTTTTCCTGAAAATCGGATTATTATTTTTTAGAGTTATGCCCCTTTTTGCCGAAACGTGTTCACACTGCTTGTTGAGTTTTTGATCTGATTTTTTTAGACTTCCAGGAAGCTTGTATTATGATACTAGGCGGATCCCTATTTCTTTTCGTGAAATATTTATAGCGTTATATCCCTTTTTCCAAAACATGTCGACACTGCTTGTAATGCTTGTCAACAATGCCAGCACAATAGAGGCCAGAGTTTTGATCAGATTTTTCTGAAACTTTTAGGAAGCTTGTATTATAATACACATAGGATCCCTATTTCTTTTCGTCAAATTAGGATTAATATTTTTGCCGAAACCTGTCCACACTGCTTGTAATGCCTGTAAGCATAATATAGGCCAGTTTTGAGTCATGCCCCTTTTTTTCCGAAACTACTTGTTAGCATGATAGAGGTCAGAGTTTTTATGGAATTGCTCTGACATTCTAACAAAATTGGCTTTCTGACTGGGCAAGAAGGTCTATTTTTTTCGGGATAATTATGACCCTTGGTTTTACGTAAAATGTATAAAAGCTGTCTTCAGGTCTAGGGTTTTCGTCCGAATTTCATAAAACTTGTTTAGAGGCTATAGAGGCTACACATTTGAAACTTCATGTAAAGCTTTGTGGGCATAAGAATGGCGAATCCTATCGATATTCAGAGTTCCACGAACCTCCGTTCCGGGGTTACCCATATCCCTAGGACACCACCCGGCGCACCAGTTTTAGAAAACACTGTGACTGCAATTGAGGCTATACATTTTAATATTTTTCTTTTTTCAAATTTGATGTGTGGCAAAGGGGTCATGAGAGGTCCGCGCCCTTCTTTCCCGAAGCTATGCTCCCTTGACCGAAAGCCCTACATAGCAGCGTTAAGGTCATGAGAGAACGAACCCTGGCGATATTCTGCGCCCTTCTTTTTCTCAGTTATGTTCCCTTTTCCGAAAATTTGTGAAAGTGATAAAGGCTACATTTTTTTCGAGACAAAGCTGCTGTGTTGGTGTATTTAAAAATATCGCCGTGCTAATTGTCGGTCCCAGAACCATAAACTTGATTTGATGATATATACTTTTATATATTTATTACAGGTGTACTTACTATGTTCGTATGTTATGTACGTTTGTCTTGTCCACGGGCTTGTCATGGTTATTATGAGCCACTCGTTTCTCCGGAACTTGCTAG